TTATCCTTGTCTGCATTAACTTTGTCCAAATTATAAAGTTCTTCCAGATGCTTCCACGATATTATTTTACCATCAGACAAAATGTCATGTTTTATTTCATTGTTTCTAACATGATGTGGTGTTATCAAATATTATTTGAAGATGTGGTGTATCAAATATTATATAAACTTTTTTTCCTGTAGTTGAATGTAAAATTTGTTGATTTAATAAAGAAAATCCTAAAAATTTGAGACCTAATTTTTTTTTTTTTATATATATATATATCTTTGCTTCTAACAAGGCTGCAAGCAACCACTATTAGAGTTGGAAGTTACTGGAAGAGAAAAGATGAAGATTGTAGAGCAAGATAATGATTGACAGTCCACTTAAAAGATAGCAAATTATATAAATCAGGAATACAATATGAAGAAGCAATTTCCAAAGAACTGATGTTCGAGGAAGAAAACTAGACGAATTAATTTTTTAGAATACTTAGAAACAGTTGTAGAAAAAGGATGAGACTTAATTAAATGTTGAGTAACACAGGTTTGAATTTTAGTAGATGGCACAAGAGACGCTAGCTCTTTAGAGCAGTGCCCATTATAGTATTAATGGGCACTATTATATATATAATGGTTGGAGATTGGCTGCAAGAGCAGGTCCAACTATGTTTACAACTGGTTTTTGCACCTTGTCTAAAAAAGTAAGGTCATCATTAGAAGATCTGCCCCAGATATGGCAACAGTATTCCATACAAGGACGGATTTGAGATTTATAGAGATAAAAAATAGTAAAATCCAGAGTAAGAAAGTATTGAGCACGATAGATATAAAGTATTTAGATGCAACCTTAGCAGACGCTAATTTTGCAACTGATTTGATATACCGTTTCCAAGAAAGATCGGAAGTAAGAGTTAATCCTAGAAGATGAAGGGTAGATGACTCATCAAGTACATTACCATTCATAAATATAGGAAGATCTAAACTATTGGGATAACAATTGACCGAAAAAAATTGAGTTTTATCTGAAATTATCTGAAAAAAAGTTCACCACCCATAGTGAGCCCCATGCTGTTGTAGAAGTGAAATCCTTTTCAAGCTAAGATGTCCCCTCCAACCAATCAGAGAGTATTGGTTTCTTATGATGACAAGAATAAATTGTAGTATCATCAGTGAACAATGCCACCTTAGATGTGAGAATATCTGGAAGATTGTTAATGTAAATTAAAAAGAGTTTAGGGCCAAGGATTAAATGTTGAGGAGCACCTGAAGTTACAGGATATGAAGAAGAGTGCTGTCCATCAAGGACAACTTTTATACTATGATTGGAAAAGAAGGATTCAATAATCTTAAATATGTTACCAAATACACGATAAGAAGATGGAGGAGACCAGCATGCCAAACTTTATTAAAAGCTTTAGAAATGTCAAGAGCGATAGCCTTCACCTCTCCACCTCTATCTAATGCACAATGAAACCTATCGGTTATTACTGTTAGCAAATTAACTGTAAAGTGAGAAGATCAAAATCCATATTGATGATCAGAAAGTAAGTTATTAGACTCAAGATGAGAGATTGAGGGTTTGTTAATTGAAGATTCAAATACCTTTCTTTATGATAGGAAGAAGACTAATGGGATGGTAGTTAGACAAATCAAATTGCTCTCCAGAATTTTTGAAAGTAGGGATAACAGATGCCTCTTTAATAAGCACTTGTTAATTAGTTTTGAAAGTGTAGATGACAGCTCCAGAGAATTCTTCTGCAAGACTACAACAGGTATGTTGTCCGGACCACAAATTATAGAAGAGTCTAAGCAGGAAATCACTTTAGATACAAAAGCTGGAGTGATACAAATGTCAAGCTATGAATCAACCTGTTTGACGGCTATATTAGGTAGAACGCAACTAGGCGAATCAAGAGATGATATTGATGCAAAGTTCTTAGCAAACAATTCAGCTTTGTCTTTAGGTGAGGTGGCAAAGTCTGAACTATACAAGGGAGGTGGAATAGCAGATTTGCCCTTATTATTGATATTATTAAAGATTCTCCAGAGGTCACAATAGCCTAATTTTTGTGATGAAATGCGAGATTTTACTCGAGATAAATACTTATTTTTAAAAGTAGTTTTGACAGTTACATTATTTGTAATACTATTTTCAACATTATTCATTTCATTTAATTTGACTTTATCGTTAATTTCTTTTTTTGTATTTTATCTTGTAAATGAAGTCAAAATACAATGTACAAATATAAATGCCCAGGCCAAATGTGACTGTGAACTAAAAGACGATAACCATCAATACTAAGATCACAAGATGAGACAGCCGAACTCAAATTACTCTCCCAAAGAGCAAGTAGGTCTGGTGAACTTTGCAAGAGATAAGACTCAACAGAAGAAATTTATTTCGAAGTCCGTGAATATTAGTGAATGATAGGTTTAGAGAACTTGGTGATGATGATTTTTTGTGTTTTATAGTTTTTGGTACTTTATTCATTTTTAAATTTGTTAAAGAACTTGGCTCAAAGCATAGATAGTACTCAGTACACTGTTTAATACCCCAAGCAATTGCCTCATTACAATTAATAATCCCTAAGATGTACCAAAGGGCTTTAAATGTACACCAAAAGTAAGAACAGGGACATCATCCATGCGCAACATGGTACTGTTAATACTCTGATATTTTTCAGCTGTTGATGGGATCAGCCTCTCTGAGACTTACCACAGGGTTTTTTTAAACATCTTCGCTTCCAACAAGGCTGCAAGCAACCACTTATTAGTGTTGGAAGTTACTGGAAGAGAAAATATAAAGATTATAGAGGAAGATAACGATTGACAGGCGACTTAAAAGATTGCAAATTATATTAATCTGGAAAGCAAGATGAAGGAAGCGAATTTCAAAGAACTGATGTTCGAGGAAAAAAACTAGACAAGTAAGAGTTTTTGGAGCGCTTAGGAACGGTAACAGAAAAAGAATGAGACTTAATTGAATGACGAGTAACACGAGAATAAATTTTAGTAGATGGCACAAGAGACGCTAGCTCTTTAGAGCAGTGCCCATTATAGTATTTGTAGAAAAGAGAAAGAGAAGCAACATTCAGAGGTTGAAGGTTGGCTGCAAGAGCAGGTCCAAGTATGTTTACAATGCGTTTTTGCACCTTGTCTAAAAGAGAGAGGGCATCATTAGAAGATCCGCCCCAGATATGGCAACAGTATTCCATACAAGGCCGGATTTGAGATTTATAGAGATAGAGAATAGAATCCAGAGTAAGAAAGTGTCAAGCTCTATAAAGAGAAGCAACTTTAGCAGATTCTAATTTTGCAACAGATTTGATATAAGGTTTCCAAGAAAGATCAGAAGTAAGAGTTAATCCTAGAAAATGAAGGGTAGGAGACTCATCGAGTACATTACTGTTCATAAATATAGGAAGGTCTAAATTATAGTGATAACGATTGGCTGAAAAAAATTGAGTTTAATCTAAATTAAAGTTCACCAGCCACTGTGAGCCCCATGCTGTAGCAGAAGTGAGATCCTTTTCAAGCTCAGATGCCCCCTGCAAGCAATCAGAGGTAGTTGGTTTCTTATTGTGACAAGAATAAATGGTAGTATCATCAGCAAGTCCAGGAAACCTGGCTACCAGCCAGCCTCAGAACCATAAAACTGATTTAAAGAGCTGTACCATCATTCGGAGATAACAGGATGAGTTGACCTTAAATACAAGGACTTAGTTTACTGGTTTGTCATTAGATTGAATTCCACAGATCATGTCAAAGAATTTTTCATAAAACATTAAAATAGTGCTTCTTTAGGTAATGAAAAGCTCTTCTAAACATTTTGAAAACTTGTGGACTGCGATACATAATTCTTAAAGCTAAAATTTTATCTCTAACAGTCTAACGTTTTCCTTTTATAAATAATTGACTTTCAAAAAATTAAAGTTGGGTGTCAGTTTTTTAACATCTCATGCTTTATCTTTAGGTTCTTGAGTTTTTTTAAGTTGACAAAACTTGAGATAAATACTTATTTTTAAAAGTAGCTTTGACAGTTACATTATTTGTAATACTATTTTCAGCATTATTCATTTCATTTAATTTGACTTTATCGTTAATTTCTTTTTTTGTATTTTATCTTGTAAATGAAGTCTGTTAGTAGGCTGTTTTCTCTTTAAGTTTAAAAGGTTGATTTGGAAAGTTAAGAATTGTTGGTACAGCAGTTACAAGTGCTCTTTTACTATTATTATTGGCAAGCAAAATGCTGATAACAAATATTACGAGTATTTATAGAAAAAGCAATTTGGTTCTTGAAAAGCGAAATCCAATAATATTATGATATATAATATATTTAGTAGACAACAAGGTGTATAATAAATTTGTTGTTTATAATATCGTCCCGCGAGACATCCCATAATCCAATGTATGGCCAATTACACATAAATATATGGATTTTTAGCCGAGTTGGCAGGTATTAGTAGACACGATCATTACTATACTTTTGCGAAAGATGTGAATTTATACTTTCAATTGAAAGTATATTATGTTCATGAAGTGTATATTATGTTCACATGCTGTGACTTAATCATGTACTTCACACTGAACCGACTTTTTCCCTATTAACTTATAAAGACAATATGGCCTAAAAGGAAATGTGTTTGCGGGCCTTTTAGTGTTTCTTATAAAATATTTTAATATGAGATTTTTTTTTTACTATTTAGGGAAACGATTAATCATAAGAACAATTGTAATATAATGTAATATTTAATAACAATTGTAATATAATGTAACAATTGTAATATAATAATAATCATAAGAACAATTGTAATATAATATATGCATATAACAAAATCAGAAATGAAAATGTCCAACATTTTCAATAATAAATTAAAAATAGTTAAATAATAAATTAAAATTAGATAAATCGTCAATTATAATTGTTAAAAAAAAAATTACGAGAAATGTTTTTAAAAATAAAAAATACTAGTTTTTATTTTCGTTGCATAATTTTTATTTCGTTCAGTATTTTTGTAGGAGCATTTTGTTGGAAAGCGTTTGCTTACGAAAAACGTTCAAGAAATACTGATGCTTTACTACTCGACGATAATCTTCAAAAAAATGATGTTAAAATTAAAAAAATACAACTGAACCGTGCAAAAAGTTTAGATTTTAAAGCAATCCATGAGAAGGTAATTACAAATCGTCCTCGTAGCGTAGGGGCACTATAACTGAAATGAAGCGATAGAGTGCGCTTGTTTCTGTTGCATCGATTAAGCAGGTGTATTAGATTAGCAGTGGTATGGGTATGAAGTTGGTTTCCATCAAATTGAAAATAGTTTTTACCGAAACTTACTGTGGTCTTCGCTAGCTCATTGTGGGCACAAAACGTTTTTAAGACGTTTTTAAAACACGTATTAAAACGCATTACCGCGTTTTTCAGACGTTTTAAACATATCTTGTGCCCACTGGGTTGTGTTAAATCAAATTACTACGTTTAACAGTGGTTTTGATTGTGGCTTTTGATATATTTTAAATTGTTTTATTGAGTTAAATTTATTTTACTAACTGCACATAATTCAAAAAAGATATTTAGTGTTGATACTTGGATATTTATAGTAGAAATCTGTTTGTTATTAAATTTTATTATATAGCGCCATTTTATAGTTTTACAAAAGCGTTGTTTTTATTATCTTCAGTTTCGAAATTTTAAATGTTTGTACTTAATAAAATTTTTAGAAGAATACATTTTCAATTTTAGTTTTTTTTTTTTTGTTTTTTTTTATTCTTTTCAATTTATTGTTAATTTGTAGAATTTATAACATAATATATACACAACCTGTGAAATTAACTCAAATAAAAATAAAGCTATATTTTCTAAATCACTATAAAATAACATGCAAAAATTTTAAAGTTGTGATTGCCTACTAGTTTATTATTTCTCTGTTCTTTTACGAACATTGAGCCACTCAGTAAAATGCATTTAAAATTATTGGTGTATATATATATATATATATATATATATATATATATATATATATCGAAAGAGAGATGGAAAGAGAGAGACATTTTAATTGTACGTAAAATTTCTTAAAAAACAAAATCTTAAATTATTAAATACGAATCCAAACGTTTTTGTTTTGTTTTTTTTGTTTGTTTGTTGTTGTTTTTTTATTATAGAATAGTACAATCTTAGACTATTAGAAAAAGGCGTTTCGTAATGTCATGAAACTGCTGCATAATCCATATAAAAAAGAACCTAAAGTCATATCTTTTTTGTGTATATAACTATTTAAATGTTTTGGTTTAAATTATTTTTCAAACTAAAACTCATATTTTCTGATAATTGTAAAACAGCTTTAGCTTCTTTTTCTTTACCATCTTGGTACAAACTACAAACTAATGCCAAAGTAGTTCTAATTATTAAAAAGATGAAAACAGTAATTCATGCCATTTACAACTGCATCCAAAATATTAGGATTAACTAACTTCAGGTTTTCTTGTATTAAATGAATAAACATCAATATTTTTCATGTTTTAACTATATAAAAATATGAATTACATTTACAAAATAGGTATTTTCTAAATAGGTATTTTAAGATTTATTAATATTAAAACAATTTGTAACAGTAATATAGTCTCACTGAGATCTAACATAACTATTTAGAATAAAATCGGAGACATCATTTAACTTGTAAAAGTCATAATGAGCGACCATACGGACACCCGTGGGTTATTAAATTACAAGATCACCTCGGCCTACAAAAGTAATCTTTTTACGGATTGGAACAACATTTGCTATATATTCTAATAAAAACTAAATACATTAATTTCTACGTTGTTTATTTAAAACTATTCTTTTATTACTTTTGTAGTCGAGACCATGACATAAGGGGAGGGGGGCGGTTTTAAATTTTTTTTTGATTTGAGGGATGCAGACGATCTATGAAGATGGAGGAAAGGAGGGCGCGATTTTCAGATATAATGATTTGTAAGCAAGCAATCACACTATTTTGAATTTTATTAAAATTGTGATTTTATTTAGACAACCTAACTATATTATTTCTGTTTTTAAACAACTTACTGTGTTTAATATATAAACTTACAAAAATAAAAAATTTCAAAACATTCTGAGGGAGGGGGGGGAAGCAATTGCCCTTATCGCCCCTTCCCCCTCATCCTATGGATCCGCCCTTGATTGTAATTAATACTAACTCTAACCCGTGAAATGATATAGGTGTACAGTTTTATATCTTTCACTTTACTTTTGGTCAGTTCATCTATTTGCTGATGATGTTAATCTTTTGTATACCAACAAATTGTATCATTTTTTATGTACAAATATAAAAAATTCGGATCTAAATTTAGTTATATATAGAGTTCACTGTTACTAGTTATAATATAGTTCACTGGTTAAATGCTAACCTAATATGTCTTAAAACCAAAAAGACTTAACTAATTTTTTTTCCATATCCGAGAAAAAACTATTTCTTGAAAAATGTTGAAATTAAAATCAAAATTAATAATAAACGGTTATATCCTTCTAGAAATTTTAAATATCTCGATGTATTGATTGACTGAAATCTTTCATGGAACTTTTATTATTGAGCTACGCAAAAAACTCTTTAGCTAACGTTGTGTTAATAATTCGTCGTTTTGTCTATAAAGTTACACTTAAGAAAATATACAATGCATCGAACGTTCGACGTCCTTAAAAAACTAAAAATTACAACCTTTTCAGGGTTAATTAAGTTTGCTGATCTTATTATTTATTTATTTTTAACTATTTAAATTTAACATCTTCCATTACAAAATTTTTTATAGTAAGTAGACTATACTATTTATACTCTACTAGAAATATATATAATGGAAAGCTAGGCGTATCATCTTATAAAACTTATAAGAATTATGGTAAGCATTCTGTTGTCTATCAGTGCGTATGTGGAACAGTAGCCTTGTAAACGTTTTGAATGAGTTCAACAAACTGCAACTTAAAATACCTTTTCTTCATCTTAAACAAAATCAATTTTTAAAAGTTCTAAAAAAGATTTTATTTTAACTTCTTGGCATTATCTCCTTTTATTAAAATATACTGTTAATTTCCTTGTTAAAACTACAATTAATATCAGTACTTTTTTATTTATTTATTTTTTTCTCTTTTATTAATCAAAATTTTTTTATTGTTAAAACCTGCAAACTAATTTGCAAGTTACAATTATTAAAATTGAAAAAATAAACAAACAAAAAAATAATAATAATAACTGTAGTTATAATTGTAATTTCTACATGCTTATCTTTAATGTATGTTTTAGGTCAATGTGGTTGTTATTACTTATAATATATTTAAAAATTACCAAGTCATTCCTTTGATCAGACTTCTGTATGACCATCCTTAAGAATCATTAAGATTATTACTAATGCTACCGAATTCACCCCAGCGTTCGGTGTGACTTCGGACATTTATAGGGGAAATTTTGGACGTGAAATAAATAAATATACTACTTAAATCATAATGGTTTATTAACAAAAACCAATATTACTAAAAGTCTTTAGCTCACACCACAGCTATATATTGACTACCAATAAATTTATAATTATGTTTCAGCAAGCAACAAAGCTGCGGTATGTAGTTACTAACATTTTACTTCAAAATCGCTTACTAAAAACTCGCGATAGATATATTCATATCGTTATAGTACAAGGTGGTAGTAGTCATATAGAAGCTATAGAGTTGTCGTTATTTATTTGCTTGTTACTAACCTACAATATGTGGGTATCAAAATATCGCATCAACATCGGTTGTTTTCCACTGGGTACCTCCTTCAAAATTTTAAGTAAACTATATTTGTAAAATGAAATATATTTATAAAATAAGCTCATTGCCGTCAAAAATATTAAAAACATATATATGTAAAAAGTTTTAAAAATTATTTGCTTTAAGTTTTAAACTCCTTTTGAAAGACCATTTTCAAGGTCTATTATTTCTTCGAGTGTTAAAGAAGATGCGTTCTTCTGCTTATGAATAGGTTTAATATTGATATCGCGAACTGCTCTAAACTCTCCAACGTTATTCAAGTGTTCGTTTTCTAATCGAAAAAAGTTCCAAACAAAACGCCTAATGATGAAAAAAGTCAACATTTATGTTTTTTAAATTTCAATTCTTTAAAATAAAAAGGTTAGGCAAAAATGCTTTAAGTGGAACACTTAAAGCATTTTTGAAAATTCTATACCGGCGCAGAATAGTTAAAGATAGGTGCGCCCTGACTTGTCGATTTTTAAAAGAAAGACATACGCGCCCTTTTTGATAGATAATATAATTAAAAAACTAAAATTTAAAAAAAATGTCAGAAAGCGTATTAAATAATAAAAATGCATCGGACTAATATATTATAATCTAAAAATTAAAGAATAAATAATTTAACTAAAATAATTTTTTTATTGTACAGTGCATTTTTAAAACTTTATACAACTCAGTTCAATTCACACTTAATGTGTAAACACAACTCAGTTGTGGTTATCATAGTAAAAAAATATAATGTTAAAAACTTACACAACTCAGTTGTGGTTCTCCTAGTAAAAAAATATAGTGTTAAAACTTTGCACAACTTAGTACAATTGTGGTTTTAAAAGTATAAATATAAAAAAGAAAGATCGAATGTACCGCCAGAATTTATAATGAAGAAAAAGTTTTCGATAAAATAGAAGAAAGTGCTAGACAAAAGAAAAAAATTAAGATATTAGAACACCCAAAGTATTTTTAATGGCTGATAAGTTGAATGTATTCAAAAGAGAAATTTCTAGGACCATTTTAGCTGTAGCTGAAGCAATAGGTCATAAATTTTTGATAAAATAAAAACCATCTATCTATCTCAAAAAGTACAGCAAGTAGATCAGGTAATAAAATTCGACAGCTAATTTCGACGGATATTAAAAAAACATTCACTTCACCAACGTACTCTTCCATTCACAGGGATTCAAAGCTGGTATCTGAGGTAGATGATAAAATAAAACGCATGTCTATTATAGTGCCATTAGAAACCATATCTTAGAAAGAGTTTTGGCTTCTGTTTACTTAACAATTTTTGGATAATATCGATCTTCAAATTAAAAGTTTTAAATTTAGAACAACATTCTCTATAACCATTTCTTAATATTTTTCGAGATTTCTAATTAAATAAACCAGATAAAAGAATTATTATCAGACTTCTGCTTGTTTGGTCTTTTAGACTGTTTCCTCAATTTTAATTCTTCTAAAGGTGATATCTGAACTTAATAAAAGTTTAGATCATACTGCATTTTTAAGGTGTAGACACTTTAAAAATGAAGTATGGCCTAAACTTTCATTATTTAAAAATATCATTAATTGTCAAGAAGATTGCCAGCTTGCTTTGCATTTAATAAATGCAAAACAAATAAATGTGCAATGGCACAAACCTGGGGCCTTACATCACTCTAAATGCATGTGTACAATTAAACATAAAAAATGTTTGCTTTTGTTGAATTGGCAGAGTATGAAAAAACTTATATAAAGAAGCTATCACGATTCTGTATATTTACAATGCTATTTTATGTGAAAATATGGCTCATGTGTACTAACGGAACTGATGCACTATTTATTGACTTGGAATTCTAAAAATAAATATTTATTTTAAAAAAAAATTGACAATGATCTTGTTATTGCTGCCCTTGAAAAATTTAATTAGCATCTTTTGGTATATAATCGAAGAAACGTCGTGATGAAGTTAAAAAAATAATTTTTTTAAAATATAAGAGAAAACTGAGAACTTGATATAGGCTATCCACATTTTTCTCTTCTAAATCCGAGTATTCTTTTGACTGATTTAGTTGAACCAAAATGAAGAAACATTCTAAATTATTTGAATATTCAAACAATGGTGGTTGGATAGCCAATCCCCAAAGTTTTGGTAAGCTAACACAAGTTTTTAACACTTGTTTGAGCATATTAAATCATTGAATTCTGTAAATGATACAGCAGAACAAGCTGTCAAACTAATTTAACACTGTGCAAAATCTAATACAAAACTCAGTTTTAAAAAATTTAAACAATGCCTTTTTTTTATAACTAATACTTTTCAAATAGTTTTAAAAAAAAAGTTAAAAAAAAAAAAGACTTCATTTTTGAATTTTTTAGTTTTTAATACCGGTTTGCGTTTAAATATTTAATTCATACCAATTATTTATTTGCTTGTTTGATAATTTTAGAATTATCTGTCACGTAAGCAAGAAAGTCTTTTTTGTATTAATTAAAAATTATAACTCTTAAAATTCATTATTATAGGCAGGAAAATATCATGAAAAAGTAGGGATGGGGGTTAACAAGGGTTTGGGGTAGAGTGAAGGTCTTGGAAACAGAAAAAAATTTTCAGATTTTTATTTTTTAGTTTTATTTCACAAACTATATATGAAATACTATTATACATTAAAATGTGAGATCAAAAAAAAAAAAAAAAAAGAAGAAGAAGAAGAAGAAAGAAAAGTCTTTTCTAAAATATTTAAAATAATTGTTTTTTAACTTTTATTTTTTAGTTAAGAAACTAAAAAGTATAACAATACTTTTTGTTTTAAAACAAAATTTCTGAACAACTGTTATTGTCATTATCTTGTTTATGGTTGGCCATCATTCAGGAAATTTTGTAAATAATAGTCTTGTCTTTTTTACGCAAATATCCTTTGCTTATATCCCAAAATTTTTTAAATTGACTAGAATGGTGGGTAATTTAGTGGATTGAGCATTTTTGATAAAAAAAATTAACCTTTCTCATTTATACCACTCCAAAGTTTTCTTAGCGTTGTGGCACAAAGTTAAGCCAAACCAAAACAAGCAAAATTCAGCGTTTAATCGAATGAGTATAAATTTCTGATGTAAAAGTTAGTGACGCAATAAAAATTTTATTATTTTTTTCACAAGAGTCAACCATGAAGTACGTTCATCAAAAAATTAGGAAATTTGACCCTCACCCCCTGTTCTATGCGTGCTTTTATACCCCACCCCCTCCTTAAAAATACGGACACTTTTAAAATAAGCCCCCCCCCCACCCTCTTTTATGAATTAAAAAAAAGAACACAAATTTAAATGAATGGTTCAAGTCGAATAAACTATCCATAAATATAAGTAAAACCAAATACACTCTTTTTCATAGACTCCACGAAAAAAAATATTCTATTAAAACTTCACTATCTATGTTATGATAATTCTAATATAAAAAGAGAGCACTCGTGCGCGTTTTTAGGAGTAAACGCGAGAAAACGTGCGCCTTTTTAGGAGTATTTCTAGACTAAAATCTTTCATGGTTTGAACAAATAAGAACATTAAAAAATAAAATATCAAAAAATATTGGCTTATTATAAAGAGCTAAAAGATTTTTAAACCAAAGCTGTTTAAAAAACATATACTTTCTTTTATTCACACCTATCTTAATTATGGAAACATTGCTTGGTGCAGCACCAACACAACCAAGATAAAAAAAACTACTCAGTAGACAAAAACATGTTATACAAATTATTTCAAACGTGAACAGTTTACCACCCTCAAAGGTATATGTTATAAAATAAATAGGCTCAATGTTTATCAACTAAACATTTATCAGATACTTACTTTTATGTACAAAATTGATAATAAAATGACACCTCTAATATTTAATACCTTTTTTAACAAAATAAATTTTTCAATTTTTTTTTTTTTGTGTTATATTAAACTAGATCAAAATTCATCGACAAATTTTAAATTTCATCAAAAAACAATTTCTAGTTTAAAAGTTACGACCACTCAAAGTTATTTCAGGGGGTAAATTTGTGGAATTTGAAACTTCTTAAAATTCGGCCGGGACGGGGTTAGGTTAGCTCCAATTACCTAAACTTTTTGCAATTCGTTCTCATTTGATACCAGTATTAACATACTAAAAATTTGAGTATACCACATAGCTCTTAGTTACCTATCTTGAACAACAAAATTACTAGGCACACGCCCAAAATAGGTGATTTCTCCCTAGGCCCTCGGCGAAAAAAGTTGTTTTTTAAATTTTTGAAATAAGGAAAAGTCTTCTGATAATAAACAAAAATAAATTTCTGGGGATGTGTTGCAAGGTCTCAGAGCATTAACCTATGCACCGTGTTGAATTGACATACCTTATTTTATTATTTTATTTTGTTAAATAGAACTTTATTTTTGAAATTTTTTCTTTCATTAGTTTAAAAATAATCAAAATGATTATTTTAGTTAGAACAAACTTTAGACCTCCCTTTCAACATACACCCTGAGTAGAAATTTCATCAAGTTTTATTGTTTAACTATCACCAGGAGGTGAAATTAGTTTGTAACAACAAGTATTTATCAAAATATATCAATGGACATTGTTTTTCCAGTTTTATTAAACTAGACTGTGTATCATTTTAATAACTTGCATTTTAAATAATAAACAAGGAGATAAAAAGTTTCAAATATGGAAAATAAAATTCGGACTTCCCTTAAACAATACACTCTGCGTAATTTGCGTGTTTTATTAAATTATTAATTTTTATTAAATATGGCTGTTAATTAGTTCAAAATGTCGTTCAATTCACTAGGTTATTTAGCAACTAAAGAAAAACTTAGTATGTTAAAGAAAAACATCATTTCCTTTAAACTTAGGCAACCAAATTTTTTGATATCACGATATCCTTTGGATACAAGAAAGAAAGACAGAGAGTTATTACAAGTAAAAGCTGTTTATAATTGCATCGATAAAAACTAGTATTTGTTCCTTGATTTTCTTTGATAATCAAGAATTCGTGGCAAAAAAATTAGAATGTTTATATCCAGATTTTAGACTTATTAAATATAAATTTTAATTAGCCATATTGTTTATCCTTTATGAGAATCATGATAATTGTAATAGGAACTATGATAAACCACATTAAAAAAAAAAAACTTGTTTATTTAGTGTTTTAATAAAAACTATTACTGATTTTTCTTTGGATGTTATGAAATGTGAAATTGTGGCATGGATACTTTAAAAAAGTTTTTTATTTCTGTAGTTTTCTGTCTCAAGGAATGTCATATCAATAGAACATTTAATGGTGCAACCTCTGATACTGCTTCTTCTACTGAAGTTAATAACAAATTTTGATTTTATTGTTGCACTGTTTATGACAAGATTATATCTGATTACTGAGTTTAACACAATGTTTGATTGATACAATTTTAAAATGTTATAAAGCACCTGTGTTTTAATTTCTTCGTTCTAATCTTCAGTTTCTTCTAAGAACAATTGCAGAAATTCACTGTTTTGTTATACTTGTTGGAAAAACCACATCATATGTTTTAGTGCCTTTTATTTAATCAAAGGCTTTATTAGGTTTATTTATTATTGCCAAACCAAAGGCTTTATTACGTGAGTTTGACCTGTGGGAAGTTTAGTTGAATTACACTTAACTGCTTGAATTTCAAAATGAACTCCGATCTAACAATACTGGAACATTACAAGCGACGGACATTTTCTTTACAGAGGCGCCTAAAAAGTTATAAGAGAATATTAAGTAGAAGTTGCAAAGCAAAATGGTAGATGAAGTCTTAATGGTTTAGTTTAGCTTGTCACACAGAGTCTATAGATAGTAAACAAGTTTTTAACAAGTTTGTAATAAATAAAAGAATTTTAAATAAAACTCAAATATAATGGGGGTATAATTTCTTTTTTTTTTTTTTTTTTTTTTTTTTTTTAGTATTGTATTTGCCGATTAAAAATAATTTACACTCGTAATTTATAAAAACAAATATTTACATGACTGGGGCTTGAAGAAGACAAAATTCATCTTATCATTAAGCCCCCCCAAAAAAATGCATATTCATCAAATAAAATATTTTAACAAAATTTATAACGTTTAAATTTATAACAAAATATATAACGTTTAAAATATTTAGTAGTTCAAAGAGTATTTATATTTAAGAACTGATTAGTAAAATAAGATGATATATAAGTATTAATATTTCAAAAAGAATTTACAATAACTTTTTTTAATAAAAATTTAAATTATAAAATTTTACAATATTTTTAGTAATTAGTATTTCAAATAATAAAAATTAAAAAATCGTTTGTAAATTCAAAACTTATAAGATAAGAAATACATTTACAATAGCAGACTATTGATTAGAATATTAAATATAATATTAAAGAGTAATTAGTAGGTTAATTTTTGTTTTTGTTTGCTAGTTTAAAAAGCTTTTTAGAAGAACTTTAATTCATTTTCATGCATCATCAGTAATTGCTTAAGTTTTGTTTTAAACTGGTTTAAAGAATAATTAGATTTCAGCTCATTATTTAATATTGTATTCCACAGCTTAGGACCTCGATTTGCAATTGAGAATTTGGTTGCTGAATAATGTGTTTTGGATTGAATGTAATTGTTTTTTGAAAATCTGGTAGGGTATATGTGGTTTATTTTTTCAAAAAGTGAATTAAATAACATTGGTGATATTTTTTTATCAGGTTTAAACATGAAGATAAGAATATGGTAAAGGTTTAGTTTATATACATTTAGAATATTAAGTTTATTAAATAATGTTTTAGTGTGAGAGAAACGGTCTACGTTTGTAATTATCCTTATAGCCTGTTTTTGTTTACTAAACAGTTTTTTTACTTTTGTTGCGTTTGTGCTGCACCAAGCAACGTTTGCATAATTTAAGTAGCAATGAATTAAAGAAAAATATAAGTTTTTTAAACAAGATAGATTTAAAAACTGCTTGGCTTTATACAAAACACCTATATTTTTTGATATTTTATTTTCAATTAGACCTATGTGGTCCCTCCAGGTTAAATTTTCATCCAGAACCACATCTAAAAACTTTATTGATTGCTCTCTTTTTAATAATGCGTTATCAATAAAAAGATCAGGAAGTTTTAATGGAATTTTTGTTTTTTATGAAGACGATGGAACAAAGTGTATTTGGATTTATTGATGTTCAAAGATAGTTTGTTTGATTTGAACCATTGGGTTAATTTTTCAAGTTCTTTGTTTACTGTTTGAAATAATTTACTGATATCTTTACTAGAATAAAACAAGTTTGTATCATCTGCAAACAAAATTAAGTTTAAAATGTTAGAAAATTTATATAAGTCATTAATATAAACGAGAAATAAAAGTGGTCCTAAAATTGATCTTTGAGGAACACCACAGGTGATTGACTTATATTCCGTTTTTCCGCTATCATATGAAATAAACTGCTTTCTATTAGTCAAGTAACTATCAAATTTCAAAAAATGTCTTTGCTGTTTTTTGTTAAACAGCCATTTTCATAGCCAGACATCTTTGTAATAACATTATTTAGAATTATGCAGTTATTATAATAAGTTTTTGAATCTAAGTATTTATAAAGTTTATTTATAATTGAAAGTTATTTATAAAGTTATATAAAAAAGTTTAAGCAGCAAAATCTTGTATTTAAAAAATTATAACCGGTAAATTTTTTACATTACACCAAGTAAGTATTTTCAAAAAATAATTTTTTTAGTTTGCAAAAATCATATTTTGAACTTTAGTGACCATTTTAGCAACTTTATAAGTCATTTAAAGAACCATTAAAACATTTTTATAAAATTCTCAATCCGGGTAAAATCTGGTCCCCCTCCCCTTCCCTCAAAAAAATAGGGTTGCAGAGGGAGCGTAGTATTTTTTGGTTCCTGTAAACGCATCCTGGTGTGTATGTGTGTGTGTGTGCGTGTGTGTGTGTGTGTGTGTGTGTGTGTGTGTGTGCGTGTGTGTGTGTCTGTATGTGTGTGAGTGTGTATGTGTGTGAGTGCCAAGAAAACAAACAATTTGATAAATCTTTTATACCGATTGCAATTAATCAAATTAAGCAAGAAGTGCAGCTTCATTGCGTAGCAATAAACTTTTTCTTATACAGAAACAATATATATAAACGTCATAACAATATAAACAAATCGTCACGGTCATTTCATAATCGTGTAAGTCATTTTTTTATGTTATAAGATATAAATAAAAAATTGAAAAAAATTTCTATTTTTTCTCTTACATCACAATAAAACAAACAAAAATAACTTGGTTTAAGATAATATCTTATAAACCAATTAGAAAATAGTTCTTTTATATTTTTATGTCAGAGAAAAAATTCTTTTTTAAGTTTTTGAGTTTTTATTTCTTTTTAAAGTTTTTATTCAAGTTTTATTTTTTAAGTTTTGTTTTTTATTTAAGTTTTATTTTTTATTTAAGTTTTATTTAATTTTACTCTTTTTTAAGATTTTATTTCTCTCAACATAAAAATTTTACTTAGGCGATTGTGAAATGATCGTGACGAAATATGCAAATGCAAAAAATCCACTTTAATATAATATGAAAAGTATAATATGAAAAAACTTTAAAATTTTATTATAACAATTAGAAGTCTTTTTTGCTAAATATAAATTTTTGCTATAAATATATACAGCAAAATGGATAAAATTTTAAAATCTATTACGCTTAGGGGAGGATAAGAACCCTACGTAACGACATTGATGACAGCGCACTAAACCACTGAACTATGGAAAATATGCGTTTAGGAGGAAAAAAACCATTTTATAAATCTCTTTAAGCTTTACGTATGCGGAAAAGGTGCGCGTGTTAATTTTTTTGCTCTTAAAGGAAATTTTTGGAATGAATTGTTTTACTAAAAATATTGAAGTAAATAAGAAAGAAAAATAACCAGTGTGGAATAGATAAGTATACAAATGGACGATTTGGTAAAGAATCTTATTTTACAGTCCGAACAGCTAGGATATATATAAGAAAAAATTATAGAAAAGGTCGGTGTGGAATCGACTTACACAGCCCCGTATTTTTCCAGGCTCGGTCAACTATACTTTAATATAGATATAATTATAAAAAAAAAAGATTTAATAAACAAACCTGAAAACTTCTACCAGGGCGATAAACAAAGTAAAAAATTCGCTAAACAGAAAACCGGAATTGCCTACGGATACAGTTAACGTCCACATAAAGCGAAGCAAAACGTCACCAAACATTGCCATGTAATAAAATATCTGCATTAAAAAATGTTTTATTTTTATTAATAAAGAATAATTAAAATTAAGTTTTAAGAGTAAAGCTAAATTTAAATATTTGAAGCTCAATAATAAAATTTACAAACTTGTCAGTTATTTAAGTTTAAAAAGTATTTTTAGTTTGCATTAATAACAATATGGCGTGTATATAAAACGGTTTTCATAGTTAAGGCTTATTAGTCACAATACCAAATAAAAACTTGTATATAAAACGATCTTCATAGTTAAGGCCTATTAGTCACAGCACCAAATTTGCTGCTTAAAAACAAGACCTCTTATAAACTTTCGATATTATCAAATGACTAAAAATACAATTTTTACTGCATTATTATATGCAAATGAAATTAATAAACTTGAAATAATAAATTTGACAATATCTATATTAAAAACAGTCAGTTAAAAGTCTGTACTGCCGCGCATAGCAAAAAGCCAGAAATAATAAAATTGAGAAGAACAAAAATAAAAGTCTGTTTTTATTTTAATATGGAAGGATCCAATTAAAAGTCGAACTGTTAGAGTGCCGCGTTTAGCCAAAAATCCATATCTAATTAGCAAACTAATGTATGTTGAAAAAATATTTTTTTATTAACTTGTAATGCATGTTAAATAAATATTTTTTTCTCTTTTACAATTTATTTTTATCTTAGTAATAATAGCAAATCATTAACAAAATATTTTATAATAAAATTACGTGGTTATGCTGTACTTTTTTTTTTTTTCTTTCATCTTTCAACTTAAAATTATAATTAAACTTAAATTAGCATCCGTCCGTATCTACAGAATAACAAGTCCTTTTCTGTTCGTATCACGACAATAACTTTAAAAATTTATTAAAACTGAAAATTAAATTATTTATAACCTTATAATCATAAACAATATGTCCTCTTAAGAAACGATTTTCACCAGCATCTTTTGCAAATAAACCCCAATCCATTTTCAGGTCCCAGAATAATGTATATATTGTGCTTATAAGCAATGAAGTGACCCAAACATAAAACAACCAACTGCGGTGACCCATTAATGCCTCTAATAAGAAAAACAAAAATAATGTTAAGTTTTAAAAGTTGAATATAAGTAATCTGTTTTACGAGTAATAATTTTATCAGTAAGTTAAAGAATTCAGTAAATTCGTAAAATAAAAATATTACCAAATTGAAATTTAAACTTTTAAATTTTTTAATTTAAATTTAAATTTAAATAAAGCATTTAAACTTTTAAATTTTTTATAAAAGATTATTTTTTTATGAAAGAGGTCATCTATACAGTCGTATACAACTTCTAAATGACTTCTTATGAAGATGGCTGAAATGAACAAAGCAGTGGAAAGAGTACAAAGACGTTTTACCAAGAGAATTGCAAACCTAAATAGCTCTTCATATTTTAATAGAATAAAAATTCTTGGTTTGGATATACTAGATATTCGTCACCTTAAACAAGACATGACATTATATGTTACAAAAATCCGAACAATTTAATTTACCTAAATAAATAAAATTTAAAAATTTTAATAAACAACTATATTTACACTCGAGGTCACTTATTCAAATTACGCAAACTAAAGTGTAAACTTGATGTCTGTAAATACTCTTTCTCACTCAGGGTTGTTAACATTTGGAATAATTTGCCGAGTGACGTCATTAATGCCAAAAATACCAAGAGCTTTAAAGTTAAAATTGACTCTATCGACTATTTCGGCTTACTAGTTTTTGTTTTGTAACGGTAGTCTTACATATAATCTTATATATATAATCTTATATATAATCGTATACCCAGTGGGCTCCGCACCTAAAAAAGACGCGTTTTGAACGTTCAAAAGACGTCTTTTTTACGTCCGTGCCCACTGGGTATATCCCTAATTTCAAACATTTAACTATTGTATTTTGTATACAAATTGTTTTTTATATGGAGGCATGAAACATGGTTTGGTATTGAAACATGAGTAATAAAATAGATGAATTTCTTAATGCTGTTGGCAACAAAATATTTTCTGGCTCCATTTGTAGTTTTGTATATTTGAATCAATTCGATTTGCCTGAAGTCAAACTACCGTGAGTTTTTTTAACCTGAACATAAGAGTGTTTAAAAAAATTTTGATAATTGAAACAATTTGATTAAAAGATTAGATCAAAAGAAAATTTGAAAAAATATGAGATAATTTGATTAAAATTTTGATAATATATAAACATAACAAGCTTTATAGGATGCAAGCAAGCGTGTACTTTAAAGCATTAATACAACCGAACCCAACACCTCCGGAACAAAAAAAAATGTTTGAGAGTTGCTAAAAGAGTAACAATAAAGATTTTACAAACTTTTTTTTTTTAAAAAAAACACTAAACTTAACACTAAAAATGAAAATTGGAGTACGAGCAATTTAAAAAGTACACAAAGAACACACTTTTTGAAAAAACAAAGAAATAAAAAAAAAAATTGAGTTTTATACTTTTATATTTATCATTTTATACTTTACTATTTTATACTTTTATATTTATCATTTTATTCTTTATTATATTATACTTTTATACTAATCATTTTATACTTCGCTAATACGAATGTATTAGCAAAGTAAAATAAACTTTGTTTGATTATAAAAGTCCAAGTTACGAAAGACTTCAAAGTGAAAAATTACCAGCAATTCATCAACTTTCTCTTAATTTTAGAGTAAAACTAAGAATAGATTAAAACAGATTGCTTTACTTCTGTATAAAATGAAGGGGGTTCTTTATATTTGATGAGTCGTAACTTGTAAGTATTTACTCTTGTAAAACATTGTTTTTAAAAAAAGAGTACCGTTTTTTACCGACGTTACAGTTGAAAGTATTGTTACAAACATAGAAGTAGAATATTTTCCAGCGTTGACCAAATGAGGAAACACTTTTTTGACTTTTGAGTCTCTGTAACGACGTAAGCACTGCGCAAGTCGAAACCAGGCCGGCAATAATGCAATAATAGGCCGGATACCGTATTTTGTTGATGTACATTGACCAGAATCTTTTGATGTAAAAATAATATTATAAACCAAAATTTGAGGTAAATATTTATTAGGCTCATTTGTGTAATTTGTGTATATAAAATCAATTACAACAAAAAAAAAAAATAACCTGGAAGTATGTACCAATCGTTTATATAAAAACAAATCAAATACTGTATATCCAGCAAAGGTATAACTAAACTGTTTAACTGATCTGCAAGCCAAAAGTCAGCAAAACAAACGCTCTTAAAAGGTGCAACAGCAATTCTAAACTATAGTAAAAAATAAATTATAACTCCGTTTTTGAAAACAACGTTTCACCGTCTAATTATTCAAATTACCAGAACTTTTAGTAGCCACCGACGAGACTTGTATTGAAAGGTCTTTGTTGGATTTAAAAGGTATAACAAGGTGAAAGCAGCCAATATTAAAGGATGCACATAAATAGATATTTTGAAATTGTTACTGAAGAGAAAAGCCAAACAGCTGAGGCACCACAAAGTTCCGAAAACTGATGCTATCTATAAACAAAACAATAGTTTAATGGCTTGTGTAGTTAAAACTTTGAGATTTGCTCCTAAAAACTTAAAAACTTATATACCAATAGGTATTCCGTATACGATAAATGATGACGAGGATCCAGTTCAAAAATGAGGACATGATTTACACCGGCACGACCCCAACCACGCACATTTATTCCAAGTAAACCAATCATAACATATAAAATCAAAATACCGCGATACATTCGTAACGCAGGTAACCAAACTAAATGTGGACCTTTGTAATATGCTGAAATAAAAACAGTATTTTGTCTTGTTGTTGTTTAAAATATTTAGCAAAGGATGTAACAGTTTTATCATATAACTATTACCTGTTATTCCTACAACTACAAGTAAAATCAGGAACAATCCAGTAAAAAAACCCCAAAAGAATGATATTGTCTCGCTTTGCTGATAAAAATAATTGGTACAACAACAAAATTTGAGGTTTTAAAATGCAACTTTAATGTAAAGCAAGAAATTTCATAACAGTTTTAATTTAAATGATATGAATTTAAATAGTAAAAAATAATATTTTAAATATTTACATTTTTATAACTTTTTCTATTGAGATTATTAATACCTAGCTAAGGCTAAAAAATATCTACGCTAGAGATATAAAATCCCTTTTCCTAATTTTAAAATAAAAAACATTTACCTATTATTGTCAAACTTTAATAAACGTGTTTTAATTTATGACTTTATTAACGGTGTTTTACAAAGATTTAGAATTGTTATTTTTTTGGTTTGGGGATAAAGAAGGAGGAGGGGGGTATGAGAGAGTAATATATGTTAGGGGTCGTCCACAAATTACGTTACACAATTTTGACTATAAAATCCATACCCCTTCCTCGTCACAATATTTTAACTCTTTAAAACAAGTTCCGTATGAGTTGTCACAAAACCACTCTCTCACCTCCCCCCCCCCCCCCAATCCCTTCTAAGGCGTAACCTAATATATAATAATTTATAGACAACCCCTTGAGGTCTCCCTCAAATATTTGGAGTTTTGTACAAAAAATGCACTTTTGGTATGGTACATTTAACCAACAATTGCGAGGTGTTAATTTTAAATGTTAAAAGTTAAAAGTTTGAAGTTAAAAGTTTAAAAAAAAAAAACTTTTAACTTCGTTTAACTTAAACTTTAAAGTAATTAATCTTATTATTTGTTTTGATATAAAAAAGTTAAACTTTAAAAGTTCAAATATTAAAATTTCAATTATAATATAAAATTTCAAAGATAAAAATCAAAGTTAAAAAAAACGATTAATTATTTATAAATAACATTATTATTTGCAGTGTTAAAATAAGATATAAATAACAAACCTAAATAATATTTATGCTAACTTCTTGCATAAATTATAATATATATTATAATTTGTTCTAAAAATTAACATAAATATTATATAGGTTTGTTATTTATATTTTTATAAACATTTTTTATTAACATTTTTAATTTATTTAAAAAATTTGCTGTTTCTTCATTTATTTATTTTGTTTAAAGTTAAAACATTTATTTTCAAGAGGTTTCTCGAAAATCATTTTTCTAAAAATATTTAATAATTTAGTTAACTAGAACATTTATTTAAATAGATAATTATCTTTTAAACGTGTTCTAATGAACTAAATTTTTAAATATATTAGTTATTTTTAGACGATATTTTTCGAGAAACCTCTTGAAAATAAATGTTTTAACTTTAAACAATATAAATAAACAACAAAGTTTTTAATCAAACTAAAAAAATATGTTTATAAAAATGTTTGAACAACCTCTGCCTCACTTTTCTAACGTTGTTTCGAAGTTTGCCCAACGTAGTGTGCTAGCTGGGCAGGCAGCACTTATCAAATGCTTAAATACATATTTGAATATATAAAGTTAATAAATGCAAATTTGGCACCAGATTCATAGTCTAGAATTGAATGGAAAATACCACCAGGATGAGAAAAAATAAATTGCAAGCTTTAGCAGTTCAATTAAAATAAACTATCGCATGTTTTTTAAATATGTCTAATCAAACCATTTTTATTGAGATGGTCAAAATGTCATACTACATAGTTATATCACAATAGAATGCACAAAAACTAGGAAAATTTTATTTTTTATACACCTCATATGTAGACGTATTCTTCATGAAACTAAATAATATTATCATGAACCATGAATTAGTGGCTGTAAAAAGCATAGTAAAAATTAAACTTTGTTTTTTTACCTTCTCCTGGCCTGGTAGGCCATTATACTCAATATATCACTTGATAACAGTTGAGATATAATAAAACAATTAGTTATACGTTACTCACTAACAAAGAGTAGTTCTAACTAACAAAGAGTAATTCTAATTAACAAAGAGAAATTTTAACTAATAAAGACTAATTCTAACTAACAAAAAGTAATTCTAACTAACAAAGAATAATTTTAACTAACAAAGAGTAGTTTTAGTCCATATTAAGATTAGTTCTATTTCGTTTTGAAAAATTGGAAAAAGGTCACAAAATATTACCCTGACTCAAAAACAACATCTTCTTTTTTGTATTTCTTACGATTTGTTTGCATTTGCTCTGCTGCCACTATTTAATTAACAAGTCAATAATATTTTGAACTTATTTAATTTATATTTAAAAAAAAGATTTATTTATGTTATACATGAATAATTATATGAACATACCTTCACAGATAAAGGTAAAACTCGAAGTCTGTTCATCGCTTTTGTACGATTTCCACCTTCTAAACCGTCAATTGCAATTGACTATAAAATAACGTATCTTTATGAAATGCTTATTTCTTATTAAATTTTAATGGATTTTCACATTTTTACCTCTGTATCTAGAATAAGAGTATTTATTTGTGTGTTGGTGTAAAACAAAGAAGATTCAACATTTGCTATTCTGTAATCTGCTCCAGAACTAGTTTTAAAGACCTTAAGAAATATTCAAAAAAGTAAAAATTTAAACAATATCAAAAGGTTTTATAACAAAAATATTCGTAGTACCTTGTCATGTTTCTTTAAAATTTTTCGAAAGGCAGTGAAATTAAGTTGCTAAATACACACACAAAAAAAGAAGATTAAAAAAACCCAAAAAAAAATCTTTAATAATGTTTCCATTTTAGAAAAGTAAAAAGCTCCATAAAAAGACTGACCTGCACTCCTGGAACTCCTAAATCATCATTGCATCAAACTTAAAACTTTTTGGCGTTTCTAGCCATAAAACAAAAATAGCAACCCGGTAAAACAAATGAGTCATTTAGTAAAAAAGAAGAAATACTATAAGTATTGCGCATATTTGCGCAATACTTATAGTATTTCTTCTTTTTTACTAAATGACTTATTTGTTTTACCGGGTTGCTATTTTTGCCAATACAAGTTTTCTGTGGTTTAGCAGACCTAAAACAACGATTTGGAAAAACCCTGTCATAACATTTACTCGGTATTGACGGCTAAAAAGTTTTCAAGAAAAAAAGAGTTTTCGAGAAAAAAACTAAAAGAGTTAAATCATTAGAATTAAAGAATTAGTAACTGTTTTCTAATTTTACTCCTTGCTGTATTATCTAAACGTTTAGAAAAAATCTGGCAATCAAACATTTATTATACAGCAATCCATGGCCTACTTAAAGTATACAGCTAAATATTCTGCAATTTTGCCGAAAAAAGAAAAGCCCAGAATTTAATTTTTTCAGAATTTAATTTTTATCCAATTGTTTTGTGTAATATGTTATGTGGTTCTTATTGTAGAGTATGATAAGTTATTTTTAAATAATACTTTTAAACAATGCCAATAATTGGTTTTGGGGTTGTCCATAAAGTATGTTAGATTTTTTTTGATCCCTTCCCTCCCCTCAATCCTGCATTTTGCTTTACACTTTTTTGAGTACCCTCCCCCTCCCTAAAAGTACCTACTCTTTTAACCTACCTACACAACATTTTATGATATTTTTTTTTAATTTAGTGTCTCCTTATTTTAGTTATTGACTTAAACTTGTTTTAAAGTAGATTAAACATGTTAATTTATACGAATAGCAACGTATTTGCAACGCAACGTATTTGTTTCATTTAAAAAAAAACATACATTGCCAAACTTTTGGCAAAAGTCCGTTATGTTGTAAAGAAACTGAGAAACTTGCATGCAGTATTTTTAGCAAGGATGCAATACAATTTTGTTTTAGTTATGAATAATGAGACACGCTGGGGTTCTACATTCTGGACAATTGAAAGATTATTACTTTTGTGTCCACTGTGTGAGCAATTTGCTGCAGTTGATCAGATATTTTTTCTACGCCCTGAAATATGGAATAAATCTAGTCATCTTTGCAATCTCTTAAAAAAGCCACATGATGTGACAGTTAAACTTCAAGGAATCGACTTCAGGAGAGTTCCTAAATGAATGGTTGAAATTGAAATCTGACCTAGAAAAGAATCAAAGACTATTTGCAGAAGACATTTCCAAATCTATGCAGAAACAAGTATAAAAACTTTTTGATAATGATATCTTTCTAGCTGCAGTTTATGTTAAAGCTTATGTTAAGGCACAACAGAAAAAAATATTTAAAACATGGAGAACATGTCAAAAAAGATTTCGACGAGAGTTTACTTGTGAAACTATTTCATAAGGTTTGTTTAGTACCATTACCACAGTGGTTTTGTAGTGGTCATAATATTGACCACTACAAAACATTGTACATTAACTTGTAAAAGTATGTTTGAAAACTTTCCTGCCTATTTAAGAAGTCAAGAAGAAAAAAAATTCTCAGTTTTCGAAAAAAAATAAAATATCAGAAAAAACCAATGTACTCTGCTAATGTAATTCGATGTGCATTATTATTGCATTATTATTGCATAGATATATATATCTATGCAATCCTACAAAGTGCTTTGGAAGAATTTCCATTACCATCACTTTCTTTATTAAATAAAATTTGTTTTCTGGAAATATTGATGCACTAAAAACTAAAAAATTGTTACTTGAAAATCTTAAAATGTCACAAGATGCCTGTATAATATTTGATGAAATTTATTTACATAAATGCGCAGAATACTCTGGTGGAACTATAACAGTTGTAAACAATGTTGGTGAACTCTACAAAAGTGTTGTTTGTTTTATGAGTTTTAAGAAAAAATATCCCATACATTATAAAATCAATTCCAGTTGTATGAATTGATAGCCATTGGTTAAAAAATGAGATTATTGAAAATTTGAATCTTTTACTTAATAGTGGGTTTGTTATGCGCGCTTTTGTGTGTGATAATCATGAAAGTTATATTTCTGCTTTTAATTTTATATAACTGCAGAAAAGTGTATTTATTCTATTATGCAGTACATTTAATTAAAAATGTAAGAAGCAACTTGCTAAATCGAAAGAGGTTTTTGTTTTCCCCATTTGATTTTATTGGTTTTAAAGATGATGTTACCGTTAAAGGTGGAGAAGTATCTTGAAAACTCTTTCATGATGTTCATGAAACAGTTTCCAAGATCAAGCTTTAGATGCAGATTTACGTAAAGCTCCAAAATAAACAAATAAAGTGCTACACCCAGCAAAACTTAAACAAAATATTCAAGTTGACTTGTTTAATGAAAGTAGAATAGCTAGTTTAAAACTGTACTTTTCTTTACGTGAGGATGCTATTGGTTTTTTAGGCTTGTTTAACAAATGGTGGATTATTGATAATAGTAAAAACCAGTTTTGTTCAAATAACTATTTAAAAAATGCTGCTATCTTGAATGATAAAAAATCTGAATTTTTACGAGCAATCGTATTATGGATCGATAATTAGGAAAAAAAATTTGAACTGTGATAAATTTGTTTTGTCTGCTTAAATTAGTGCAGCATTCAAACAAACACTTATTTTTCATGTCTCTTTAATTGAAAATCTTTTAAATGATGACTATAAATTGGTCATGACAGTAAGATTTCAAAGAGATCCAATAAAAAGGTTTGGACAATACCAACAGCAGATAAACCTGGTAGCAGGTTTTTGGTGAGCTTAAAAGATGTTTTGTGCTCAGAGCGTATTATTAAATTTAAAAGTTTAGTTAAAGAAGGCATAGATATCTACAACAGTCGTGTAAAAAAGACTAAAGATTAAAAAAATATTTTAAACAAACTTTTGGACAAACTTCTATGCACATTTTTAAATAATGTGTCTCTGTCATATGATAGCAGAGAAGTTGTCTTTTATATTACAGGTTATATTGCAAAAAAAATGTCAAAAAGATTTGGTAAAGGCTAAATAAATATGATTCGCCAGATAAACAATATACTAAAATTTTATCAAGGGGAGGAGTGACTATCTACCGATCTGGATAACTATGCTTGTGATGTTTTTGCAATTTTATACTTTTGATGTAATTAACAACACTGATTTGCCAATCAAAACAACTGTTCAATTTATTTAAAAAAAATATTTATTCAGAGAAAATATCCTTTGTTTTGATCACCTAAAACTTGGGATAATCTAATAAACAAAACAATAAGTAATATATTTTTTAATAATAAAAGAAAAATAATTACTGATGGAAATTACATGGAAAATATAGTTGGCTTTAAAAAAAGGCAACGAAATAAGAAAGATAGAGCATAAATATAAAAATTAAAAAGAGAATATGTTTTTAATAAATTTCATATAACCAACATTTCTTTTTATTTTCTGAGAAAAAGTAAGAAATTAAAAAAAAATTAAACTTTTCTTAAAACGAAGTTTTGTTATTGTTGAATAAAATATTTTTTCAAGAATAAATCCGTGCTGTTTGTTTGCTTTGTTTTTTAAAGCGCAATAGTTTTTGTTTTTTTAATGGCCTTCTTGTTTTTCGAAATATTAGGCCGTATACTTTAAATAGGCCATGCAGAAATCGATATGGTTTAAAAAAACAAACACTTTTAATGAACATGCAATTCTTCAACTTGCTAGAAATATTTTTGGATTGTTTGAAAATTCTTAATTTTCATTTGGGTGTTGGGAGTACACTTTGAGTATTTTCTTTGATTTTGCAGAAATCTTTGATAATCAATGAAATTCTTTTCAAAAAGATACATAAGATACGCAATAGAATTAATTGTAATACGCAATTAATAGCGATACGCAAATAATAGAAATATAATAATTTGGCTACAAAATTAACTATATAATGGAAAGCAATTTGTTTATGTGGTTGAAAGCGTGTTATCTAATTTGTTAAACATTACACGTGGAGCTCTTCAGGAATCTATATTAGAACCTTTATTATTTTGAATATATATATATATTAATGATCTACCCGAAGCTTCTAACCAAATGACTATTGTGATTGCTGATAATTCTAACTTATATCTCTCTCACAATAATACTATGAACATTTTTAGCAACATTGAATAAGTCAAAGTTTCTGAACTATTCAAATTAAACAAATTATTATCAACCTTAATGATAATTTGTTTGACGATGGAAACTCATAAATTCTTAGGGACTTTGCAAAATTGGCTAAGATAGCAGAAGTCCATTTGAAATTTAGTAAGCGCTTAGGAAATATTCAAAAATGCATAAACTTGTGTCATATAATAAAATTAAAAAGTTTAAAATTTACACATAAAAATATCAGAATCTCTACATTTAACAATTTGAATGGTATCTTATGCCTGTTATTCTTCATAAAGTTTACCTCATGGCTGAGAAATTACGGAAACTTTTATTCTTCCAATTATAAAATATTCAGAAGAGGCCTAAGAGGCTCAAAATAAACGCAACAAGCAGTCTAAGAACAATTTACATGAAAAACATCACGAAAAGAAACAGATACGGATTTATTAAACAGATGTATATTACTTCACACTCGTCAATTGCACGTTTTCGAGCATAATTAAGAATATAAAAATGAATTATAAATTGTTCAATTTATTAGAAAAGTGAGCTATGGCAAGACTTGTATAAAATGAGACTTTAGTCAACTTCCTGGTAACAAATATTATACTTATTAATAGTAATAGCTGCGCAGAAGTGAATGGACATCACCAGTAATGTACGAATATTTTTTAGAAATAAAAAAACATTTTTAAACTAAAAGTTTTTTATACTCTTTAATTTCTTAACCATAAATAAAATTTAAAGAAATTTGTAAAAAATATTTTAAATATTTTTGAAAATATTTTTTTTTCGATCTCATATAGGCCGGCGTCTGTGGCATGAAATTCAATCACTTTCGTTATACCCATTTTATCTATCTATCTGTATATGTATATATATATATATATATATATATATATATATATATATATATATATATATATACATATACAGATAGATAGATAAAATACTTATACGCAGATATAATATATATATATATATATTATATCTGCGTATAAGTATTTTATCTATCTATCTGTATATGTATATATATATATATATATATATATATATATATATATATATATATATATATATATATATATATATATATATATATATATATATATATATATATAATATATATATATATATATATATATATATATATATATATATATATATATATATATATATATATATATATATATAAAGGTGTGTGCGTGCTTATATTTATTAATACTATTATTATTTTATTTGTATGTTTTATGTAGTGTACATATATATTTGTTAGAAATCTTTTTTATTTAGTTAATTCAAAATAAAAATAAATTTTTAAATCGTTGTGATAATTTTCCTAAAGAATTGGTTTTGATAAATGAAAATAAGCTGTGGCAGAAAAATAAAGTGTGTTGTTAAGATCTGTATCTTGGAGGTCCAATTGGATCACCAGAAAGAGCAGTAGATGTATCAAGGACAAAAACTACATGTGTCTAGGTTTTAATTCATTTTCAAAGATTAAGGGAAAGTTTTATACCACATACGTCTTGTGTTATATATGGCAGTAAAGCTACCAACTGTAGAAGGCAAATGATTTTAAGTTTCCTGAAAGATCAAAGGAGATAACAATGTTATGGATTTGTGGATTTATTCTAAATTTAAAAAAAATAGAAGTTTTAGACAGATTTATAATATTGAGTGTAAGTTAAAAAAAAGTGCACCAGAAAAGAAAACTTATAAACAGTTTTTTGCGGATGAAATGAAATGATTTATTTTAAGATGTTCATTTTGAAGGCGTGGTATTATGAGAGAAATTCCAATAAATACTTATAAAAAATACGTTTTTGCTGAAGTAATTCTTATATTTATTTTTAGTTAAATATTTTAAAATAGTTTTATGATTGTATAAAAAATGTGTAGTTATATATATTTTTCTTAATTGCATGATATTTTTTGGTGTCAAGAGATTTTTCCTAATATTAATATTCCTAGTATTAGATAAAATATGCAACAATGTAAATATGCAAAAGACATGATTTTTTTTTTACGAAGTGCATTTATTTATATGTAAATGATCTATGAATAATTTTTTAAATAAAATATACAATACTATATATAGTTCTTTTGTCTCACATTTGATATTGACAGCGATATTGATAGTTTGGCTTTGTGATATTGATTGTATGGCTTTGGTCCTTTAAAATGTTATTTTCAAAAATAGGACGTTTGTTTTTTTTTTAAATTACATTTGGATCATAGTAATTGCCTAAAAGCTAGAATTCTAAACAACTAGACTGACCACAAAACAATTGGAGTACAAATGTTTTTTAACATTTTGATACTATAAAAAATAGCATCTTGTGCATTTGGCTAAACCCAATTGTTACTGAACTGAAACCCACTGAACTAAAGGAAAACTTTCATCAGAAAGCGTTCACATATAGTTGAAATTAGCCCTGCAAGTTCTTTCGGAAATGGTTGGTTTAATGATCAAGGTTCTATTGCTATATATTGGATGGAATTGCCTGCTGCGCCAGCTTCGATGTTTATTTTTGTTCATTAGTATTGCCGCCTTGAATGCTCTACAAAAAGATGTTCTTGTAATAAAGCTGGTGTAATTTGCTCAGACCTTTGCAAATGTAATGGTTGCAACAGTCATGGTGTTAACCATCCAGAAGAGGATGACGACAAATATCCAGACGAACCAAATGAATCTAAGTCTGATTACGATAATGATATGGGCTAGATTATTAATATAATTTCGCCCATATCATTATTATCGTAATCAGATTCAATGATCAGAAAATTATTATTATTATGAAACCACCCTTTAAAATTGGTTCTAATTAAAAATCACCAATTTAGTTACTGTTCTTCATTGAAGCATAACATAAAAATATCAACAGTTAAGCTCCCTTCGAAACAGATCAAAAATAAAAAGGTTGGAAACCACGATTGCTTGTAACATAAAGCATCCAATTACTTTTTTTACTTTAGGCAATTTATTGAAGAATATACTTACTAAATTTGAAATAAAAAAAAAATATTTATTTGGGCGTAATAAATTTAAAAAAAAAATCAGTTTTTTTTTGTTAGTAAAAACCGTCCTGGTTAAAACTATTAGATGGTTTCTATATACATCATAACTTTGACCTCAATTTACCCGGTCTTTGGGACTGTAAAAATCTGGGATCTTTTGGGAATTGAATTAGTTTTTTTAGCTCTTCAAAATACTTTTTTCAAAATTTAGTTACTAAATGGGTATAACGGATGTCTTTTTTTAGAACGATTTTTATGCCACAGACGCCGGCCTAATACTTCCCTTCGGGCATTTGCTTTTGAAATTTACGCTCTAAATGTCTTTTGAACGTTTTTAAACGTCTTTTTAACGTTCTTTACGCAAGAATGTTTAGAAGATGTTTAAAAGACATTTAAAATACATTTAGAACGTAACTTTTAAAAACAAATGCACGCTGGGTTTATTCAAAGCATTGTTTTTTAATTAAAATATATAGCAACTTAGTTAACCTGAAAATTTTGAATAAGAACCAAGCTGAGATAAAATTCGCTGACCACAAACTTCATTTCTTTTAGTTTTTTATTTGTGAGAACCTGAGCCTTTGGTTTAGCTGAAGAACCAAAATGTGCCTCGGAACCATCTTTTTTTCTCACAATAAGAGTGCTGTTCGCAGCACAACGAACACTTGGTACTCCTGCATTAACCATTTGTAATTATAAATTTGTAAATTTACGAATTGCCTCCGATAATTTTTCTAAATAAATTATTTTAAAAGTAATGAAAAATAAACAAACAAGTTTTTTAAATGAGTTTTTAATTGTTATTAATTGTTTATTTTCATCAAAAAAAAGTCATTTTGTACCAGAAAAAAAAGTGTTCACTCTAGCAAGCTCAGAGTCACAAAATTCAAAAAAATTGAGATCATGTTTTTCAAAATGACTTTTCCAAGATTCGTCTGCAGGATCTAAAAAAAATTGATTTAAAAAAGTGTAAAACTCATATGAAAATGCAATCCTTTTTCATACTTACTGATTATTGATAAATACATAAATATGCTTACCAGTCATAGGTGGTGCGGATGAACTTGCTTCGTAAATAAACTTTTTCATTTCCTATAAAGAATATAGAAATTAGATAATCAAATATTATTAATGTTTTTTTGGATTACAATTTTTTTTTAATTTTTAATGAAGCAGTGTAGCTGCAATTTATTGGATAGTATTCCAAAAATTTTGACAGCCTAAAATCAAACATCTAACTTTAAAAAATCTTACTTTACCTCGATATTTAGTGACTCTCCATGAAAAAATAGGCCATTTTTTTTTTTGTTAAATTTGTTATTTAACAAAAACTTTCTTTTTTCTTGTGCTCAAAATATAAAAAAATAACGCTAAAAACTGCATAATATACTAAAAACTGCATATTATTCTTAACCTGATATCCCGAAAAATAATGAGGCCCAGCAGGTTATATTTATTTTAGATAACATGATTAGTAACCTTTGTCAACTAGACTACCATCTTTAATGGTTAAGTAAAGTTCAGATTTTTGAATCGCTGCTTCTTAATGTGAAACAACTTCCTTTTTTTCTGCACTTTTATGATATTGCACTTTGATGTAGCGTTGTTGCTCTTTTTTAGCAAGAATTTTATCTACTCTAATATTGTAATATAAAGGTATTTTGTGGCATGTATTTAGAAAAAGTGTGACACTAAATTATTATGAACTTGCATAAGTTTGACTTTTCATTAAAATTTCTACAAAAACTTATGTAATTTTTAAGCAGACTTACGCTTAAAAATTGACTGACTAAGGACTCATTCTCAGACACTTTGTACATAAATACAAATATGAATTTCCAGAGCGCAAGCGTTTGAAAATTCACATTTGTGTTTATAGCTACTTATACATATTGCATATGCATGAGTTTGTAAAATTCTAAATGCATTAATGCGAATTTACAACTTAATTACACTTATGAAGCAGCAGAACCCAGATTTCTGGCTCAGAACCAAAAGGTTTAATGTTTGATACCAACTCTGGCATGGTAAGCTATATTAGTAAGAACGGAGGTGTACACCTCCGGGTTAAATGTTGTGATGCAGTTCTCTGCGGTCGTCATTTATTGTGTGCAGTGGCCGTTATTTCTTCATGGAGCATCTTAATAACTAATAATAATTAAAAAAATTTGGTGCACTTGTATCATTTTGCACTGATGCAGATTGACCCTTATTTTATTTACCTTCACTTATAAAAAATAGTTTGTACTTTCGCAGGCTGACATTTGCAATACATGTACTAGCGTAGGTTCACAGATATGAAACACGCACTAATTTAGTTATCCAACCTAATTGTATATAGTTTATATTTATTATTACCCCAATTTTATACACCTTTCTAATCTAAGCCAAAAGATGCTTTTTTTTCTTTCCTCCTTTTTTAAGTATTTATATAAATTAACTTTTTCATACTTTTATCTCAGATAAAAGTATAAATAAGTTAATAACCTCCACAGAAAAGCAATAAGTGTCTGAGAATGAGTCCTTAGTCAATTTCAACTTAAAGTCGTATATATCAGTTTTGTTGTTCATAATAGTTATTTCATGAAGGCTGTTATTTTTGTTTACGGTATCTATGGTAAATTAAAATAAATATCCATAAAAGAAATTTGTAACTTAATTCACGTATCATAGAGGACGTTTTACAGTAGTTTAAATAATAAGTATTACGATTTTTTAAAATCTTTTTTAATCTTTTGATTGTTAACTAGTGTGAAGCTCTGAGCTATGTTTTAATTACAATTATGTTTTCTCAGAGTATCAATTGCTATACTTTTGTATTGAGCGCTTCTAAATTAGAAATACTTGCACAATTACGACAATATATACATGGTTAGATGTTAGACTGCATACAGACACTAAAATTCTTAGCCACTATATGTACACTCAACAAGTCTATCCATACAAAAATTAGTCAATGTATGCACATACTTGAAAATTAATAAGTACATGTGCATTAACTAAAATGATCTAATTAAAATTTTCAGTTGCATACACTAGGGTGCGTCATACTAACTTTTTGGTTGGGGGTATGTTAAGTAGTATTAAAATTAAAAAAAATAAAAAAATAAAGGAATAAAAATTAAATATTTACAATGAAGTTTTAGTTTTTTTTTCTAATATTTTAATCAACAGAGCTTCTAATTGCAATCTTTAAATCACTAAACAACTTAGTACTTAGTACTTGGTATTTGCTTAGTAGTGGAGTTATTTACTGCACTACTAATACTAAGAAACAATACATATCATATGACAAAGGAAAATCACAAGTTGACCAAAACGTGCTGTGAGGGTTATTATAATTATAATCAGGTTAATTCACACATTTTAAAGAACTACTCAAAAATAACATACTCAATGTTTTTAAGTAAATGTTTATTCAATTCTTATTTTTATGTATAAATTTAAGAGAAAAAAAGCCCAATAATAATTTATACAAATTTTGTATAAAATATTATTGGGCTTTTTTTCTCTTAAATTTATACATAAAAATAAGAATTGAATAAACATTTACTTAAAAACATTGAGTATGTTATTTTTGAGTAGTTCTTTAAAATGTGTGAATTAATCTGAAAACTTTGTAGGATATATGTGATCAATTTGATTCAAATTGATCACATATATCCTACAAAGTTTTCAAATTACAACTATATCTAAAATGCATACCAAACTTTCTGAAGCCACTAGAGGTCCAAAACTATGCATTACTTTATTAAACAATGACCTAAAAAAAACTCTTCTTCCCTTTTTCTATACTAAAGTTAAAAAAACTTCTTATTGATGTTAATTAATAAAACACTCAGTACTGAGGTTTTTTTTTTTTTTTAGCTTTTTTTAAGTTATCTTATTTTACTTTTTTTAGTTTTGATTTATTTTATTATAACTTTTAATCAAGTTTTTAAACGAAATAACCTAACAACTATATCTTCTTTTAACTGTTACTTGCTATACGAAGTGGCGGATTAAGACTTCTAGGGGCCCGGGCCTACTTTTGTTTTTGGAGATCTTTTTATGAGCCAGAGCCTAAAAATGACTAAAAAAAAAAAAAGTCTTCTAAAATTTTTGGGGGCCCCTAAATTTGCGGGGCCCGGGGATATAGCCCTCCTCCACCCCCCCCCTTCCCCCCCCCCCCCACACACACACACCTTGATTTGGCACTGTTGATACGCAAAAATGAAAAATATTTTCTTTTTTTTGCCCTTGTCATGTAATTATCATTTATTTAACATGAAGTTGTATTTGATTTTTAATGACAAAACATAATCAATAAAATAAAAATTTTAAAGTCTGCAATAAATAATAATTTGCAATTTTTGTCAAATTTTTTCTGCGGTTTTATAATATAGTTATTTTTCTTTTACAGCAAATAATAAACAAAAGAAAATATTGTGCTTGTGAAGAATTTAAAATTAATAGAAACTCAAAGTTTCTACAATTAATTTGACTGAGAATTTTGGAGTAGGAAAAGATTGCTCAGAGATAAGCTTGCTAAGCAATATAGTTGCTAAGCAATATAGTTGCTAAGCAATATAGTTAGAGAAAAGTCGATCTATTAAATGTATCAAATTGACCGGGCAGAAACGGAAAGACAGGTTAATGCAGGGAAAGAAATATTAAAAAATGTTGTATCCTTTGCAAAAAAATAGAAATCCAGTAAAAAAAAAAGCTTATATTAATATACAGATTTAAAAAGAAAACTTTTAAGCTTTAAAATCTTCAAAATGAAGATTTTAAAGCTTGAACGCCGTAAATAATATCAAACAAAATCTTTTTATACTATATTATAATGTATTTATTATATTATAATATAGTATAAAAGATATATTATTATTATCCCAATATAGTGTTAGCCTCTCTTTGATTTGACGTATCTACATCTGCAATTCCATATGCTTTACTTAAAGATTTAATAAAATCAAATAATTTGAAATTAAAAAAATAAAAATAAATAAATAAATTGAAAAAATTGAATGTTTTTGAATAAATAGCAACTTTGACGAACTTTGATAAATAAAACTTATGATTGGTCAAAAAGCTATCTATGAATATAAAAAACATACATATTAAAAGCTACATAAGAAAAACATACATATGAAAAGCTACATATGAAAAACATACAAAAAGCTAGATTTGAAAAAGCTACCTTTGATAAATAAAAACCTAAAATTAGTTAAGAAACTAATAATTGGTTTAGAAACCTATGGTTGGTTAAAATAAACATTATGTTATTAATTATGAATCAGGAGATTTAAAAATATGCGGCCGTGGTGCAGTGGTTAGAGCGCTTGCTTTATAATCAGGAGATCCAGGTTCGAAACAAGCTTTGGACATATTTTGTGTCACGTTAAGGAAGGAGGCATGAACTTCCTGGTTAAATGCCCTTCCGTGGTGCTCTGTGACGAGACTGTTAGGACTTCTTGGGGCACCTAAATAACAAATAAAAAAATAAAAAAAATTATATGTGGAGTCCTACTAAGGTCAAATCTTGATCTACTGGTGTGCTTGATTTATGTAAATGATTTAAGTAATGCACCAGCAAAACTTAAGTCGATAATGTTCGCTAACAATACGAATCTCTTTTTTTTAAACAGTGACATTAAACAACTTTATTCTCACATAAATTTTGAGTTGATGAATGTCAATTAATAGTTTAAGGCTAATAAACTCTCATTCCATGTAGATAAAACAAAATATACTTTATTTCATAAAAAATCACAAGATGAAAACCTTCCCTTAAAATTACCTAATTTGATTTTAAATGATAGGCTAATTGGAAAAAATGAGTCAATAAAACTCTTAGAAATTCTAATTGACGAAAATTGATCATAGCTTTCCCACATAAATTATATATGACAAATTGTTAAAACAATTGGTTTGATTATAGAGTCATAAGAAAAAAATAGTCTGGCCATTTGTGGTATTCCTTTAATCAACTCTTTGTTTGCACTTTGTTAATGCCCAGACTAAAAATTTGCTAGCGCTAAATGTTTATCTACAAACGGCTTCTTGAAATTGCATATTCTTCATCCAATACTTTAAATTTCTGCTGAAAC